CATACTTTATTTGAAATAGGTTAAATTAAAGGCAGCCAGAGGCTGATGTGGACCTATATTTAATCTACAAGTAATATTATATAAAAATTATGCTAATAAAGATCTAAATACAATTATCAATTTAAATGTAGTGAAAATTACTAAATTAAAAATTGTCAGTTGTGTGCTTGGTCGGTCTGTAGAATGATGGATCGGCAGAAGAGAAGCAGAACGGTAGGTCGGCAGGTCGGTCGGTCATTTCGCCGGTTGGTCGGTTACCCTGTCACGCAGTCAGCCAGTCAGCCAGTCAGTCAGTCAGGTGGTTGGTCGGTCAGTCCATCAGTGGGTCAGTAGCCCACGTCGGTTGGCCGCTCAATTGGTCAGTCAGTCTTTCTGACAGGCAGGCAGGCGGTCGGTCGGTCGATCGTTCAACCCGGGCGGGGGGTTACTCCCAGAAAAATTGGGTGGGGCTGTGCGGCCCGCTTTCCAAAACCTTTATCCTATTTATGACCAAAATCTGCGATATTCCCTACCCTATTTGTGACCTGACCAAAAATTCAAAACCCAATTTATGACCTAACCCGTAAATCAAAACCCTGTTTCAGAACTGCGTTATAATTAGTTCCCTCGTTCAGACCAATGTTAAATTACCGTAAACATAATTTGTGAAGGGCTTTTGTTGATTTTCTTTTCGATAATGATTAAAAAGTGGCTTCTTCTTAAAAAATTACCCATATCAAGGCTAGAGTGCAAAATCCATACCCTATTAATGACCAAAATAGCCAAAATTAGCTAAAGTCGATACCCTCTTTATGACCAAAACGGCTGAAACACCATACCCTTTGGGGCCGCACATACATATATAGCCCATATAAGGGAATACCCCCCCCCCCGGGTCGTTCAATCAGTCAATCACTCAGTCAGTCACTCGGTCAGCCAACCAGTCAGCCAGTCAGCCAGTCAGTCAGTCAGTCAGTCAGTCAGTCAGTCAGTCAGCCAGTCATCCAGTCAGGCATTCAGGCATTCAGGCCGTCAGGCAATCCGACACGGCAGTCAGTCAAGCAAGTTGGATTAATATTCTAGTGTTGAATGACATCTTGATGCGTGTTACTAGAGGTAAATAGCATCTCCAATTAGTTTTTTAACCTAAATACTATTGACACTTTGATAAAGTCATTCATTCATTCATTCATTCATTCATTCATTCATTCATTCATTCATTCGTTCATTCGTTCATTCGTTCATTCGTTCATTCGTTCATTCGTTCATTCGTTCATTCGTTCATTCATTCATTCATTCAATGCGAGTGTAATTAAGGATTTGCACTACGAGTGACAATTACAAATTCTCTTTAAAATGGTGAAATTTGAATGAATTTTCAAGTATCACAAGTAGCGTATAAAATCTTTAATTGCTTGCGCCTTCTTACATCTTGGCCAATAACAATGTAGTGATTTTCTCAGTCATACAACTAATTAATTAGTTATTAGTCAATCGATTTTTTAAAACTCTACAACGTTTAAACATGCAGGCATTATAAAATTACCAGCTTTTAGGTTTAAAGTCTTTCAAAAAGACAGCAAAGTATGGCGAATTGTCGGGGTTAAGTCCATGAATGACTGGATGGTAAACTCTGGCAGCTCCGTCCTGGCAATCCAGAGGCGGTGTAAATCCTTTTGTGACCGCCTCGTGTTGTGCTTGATGGAAAGGTCGTTCGTCCGTGACCCAGCCAGTGTCAACAGCCGTCATGTAGATGCGATCCATCTGATATTCCAATCCACTTGTTCGTGTCAACATATTCAAAGCAGCTTTTGCCATATTGGTGTGCGGATGGCGATGACCCTTCGAGATGCGAGAAAACTGCCCCTCCATTGCAGACACGTTCACGACAAATTTTCGCTGGAAAGGACTTTGTTTTAACAGTGGTTTAAGTTTTGCTGTCAAAATGAACGGGCCTACTGCATTGATGGTCAAGACCTGCAGAAGTTCTTGCAGTGGAACCTCGTCTAGATTGTATGTCCAACTGTTTCTCAAGCGGGTGTCCAATTGTTCTCCATGTTTGTCCTTCCTTCCTTCTGGAAAATCACTCGACTTTGCCTCGAATGGAAGAGATCGACATGGTGTAGAAGAAGTCATGGAATTGAATTGGTCCAATGCTTGGCTCTTATTGACAATCAGATTGTTCGCATCTTTTGTCAAGTTTTGCAGGCGCTTTACTTCCTCGGAGATAAGAGGTGCATAATATTGAAGAGGCCGAGAGATTGTTTGGGCAGCGTTATTGATTAAAATATCCAGATGAGGGATGTTTTTCTTGACGCTCTCAAGGAACTCGTTGATGGAGCGCATATCTTGAAGATCCAGTCGGACGATCTTCAGCCTGTGTTTCCAGACACTAAAATCTTTCTCATTGCTAAAGTGTTCAACTGCATTGGCTGGAAATCGAGTTGTCGCGATGACGAAACATCCATCTCTCAACAAGCGGAGAGTAGTTTCGAAGCCAATCTTGATTCGGCCACCTGTCACGATAGCGTACCTTCCTTTCAAATCGCACGTAACTTTCTTCATGTCACTGTTCAAACTATGACAATCATCGCACACGTGATCAAAACCAGCTGTGGAATCGCACATGTAGCACTTCCTTCGGCTTTCATTTGATTCAGCGGTCATTCGTTTCAACTCGTTAAAGACATTTTTGCGAGGTCGACGTTTATCGCTATATGCCGCTGTAGGTAACGCAACGGCAGATTCATCGTTGTCATTTTGTCGTTTCCTCTTCAGTGCATTATTCAGATGAGCTTTTCCCTTCAAAAGACCAGGATGAGCGTCCAACAAACGATGGATATCTAGCAGATTATTTCCGAAATTGAGGACGTCGATGCTAGTTTTTAAAGCGTCAGCGACAGGTACCGACTGATCGCGCGTCGTGAGTTTTAGGATTGCGTGATGAGTGTCTTCAGACTCTGTGCCATTTTCCTTCAATATTTTGCCCAGCCGTTCCTTGATCTCGAGGAATCTTCCGTGGCCACAATTTATCCAGACGTGCGACACTTTCGAGTGTTGAATAAACTGGCATAATGATGTTAATTCGGTTAAAATTTGGTCTGGTTGTAGAGTTCGACAATCAAGGATGTACCTGTTACAATCGCTGAACGCTTCAGTGGACGCCAGATCTGCTATTCCTGTCACTACGATCGATTTATAGCGATATCCTCCGTGATTCAGTTCCATTTCAACAACTCTTCATAAAAAAATACCGTAGAGAAACATTCGTTGTTGGTCACGAACAACCGGTCCCTCTTATTTATTTGGTGTACTATTGCCGAGTTCCCACTCAAGTTGCATCAGCAATGAGAATGACGTCATCGTGTCCAGGGACAATCCCCCGTAAGATATTAGCGCAGATCTGGTTGACAGTTGCGAAAATGAAATGGAAATCCAAAAATGTCGTCGGCATCGGAAAAAAAAGAAACCTATGTTACAGCTAGCGTACTTAAATGGTAAAATGATTCTGCCTTTGGTGACTTGAACTTTATTCGTGTCACGCGACGTTGCGCAACAGTCAACTTATCCACCGTGACATGGGCGATCGTATGTTTGTTGAGTGAGTTTGGAAAGCCAGGAGTGGAATTCTCGGAATACACGGAATATCCAGAATCCTCGGAATGACCGAAATCACAGACAAATAAACTAAAAAAAAAAGAAACAAAATCGAAAAGATGCAAATACAAAATTTTCTTTATACTAAACCGGCATAATTAATAGAGAGGAATGGTTGTGAACTTTTGCGGCAGTAACTTTAAATTAGCAGTAGCATTTGCCACCACAGACCAAGCTTGCACTGTCGATAATACCAAGTAAGACAATGTTTTCAGATTAAAATAGTTCATCAAACTTTACTGCACTTATTTCAGTGCTTGCCCTCGACTTTCTTTTTTCTTTCTTAAAAAGTATTTTCCTCTGACGACAGAGAATACGGTGAAAGAATACTCGTAGTAGCCTGAGATAACCGCGCTGGGAATATTGCTAATTGTTCGATTGTGCTCGATTGGCTATGCCCGGAGTATGTCAATGCGTAGCACTTGCTTTAGAAGGAATCATAACAGTCCAGCTCTCTTAGGTACCCCGGCATCTCTAGA